CTCTAGGAATTGTTTCTCTCCATGGCTAATTGGCCCTTGGAGAAGACATTCCTGTGTTATCTTCAGAACCACACTTCTTAAAATGTCTCACTCCCTTGACCCCTACAAAGCAACTTCAAGCAGAGCCCTTTGGGAATGCTCATCTCATGCACAAAGCAAGTCTAATTGGCATCTTGAGTATTGGTTTCAGAAGAGATTCAGGATGTGTCCTTCGGGTGGGAATCCCTGATGCCATATATGTAGTGACCTCATTTGTGTCACCTGACATAGGTCCTCTGGGTTGGGAGGTGTTTTATTTCCCCACTTCCCTCAGGATTGGCTCATGTCAGGCCAAGTCTTTCCTCATTCTAACCCCTATGAATCCTGCTGAGGAAACATTCATGCAGTCAGGAAGGGGCTTATTCTAAAAACATCAGCGCTAGAGCTAAATCCCTGGGGAAAGGAGGTGTGTACATCTAAGAAGAGAATAGAGAAGAAAATCCAAAATAGATTTTCTTTTGACTCTGGGCTCATTGATTACAGAGCAGGTATTAAATGTAGCATCTACACCCAGTAAAATTAAAGCAGATTGTGATCGCTGAATCTCTCATTGCTATGTTTGGATGGAGAGGTGGCTCAGACAGATATTTAGAGTTAGAGGAGTCATATGCATGAGTCAAAGACTCAACTAGTAGAGGCTAAAGAAGTTTAATTAGTTAATCTGTCCTGATATGCGCTGATGGAATTCAAAATCTGAGCACTATTTGAAAGAGCTTTACAGAATTACACATTCTACTGCTCCTGGCAATGCTCCATCACTAAGGTAATTCATGTAAACAATGATGGCTGTGTCAGACAATACCCTCTACAGCACTCCACAGCGCATGGAGGTCTCAGGGTTATGAAGGAAGTCTGATGAGCACCTCAGAAAAGACTGGAAATTCAGTAGCCAAGGTGAGAGTCAGTGTGGATCTGTTCTGCACTCTCTGTTTCTCCTCTATACTCGCTTTTCTCACAAGTGTCTGCAGAGGAAACTCCGGGTAAGGTATCGTTTGGGCTTGAGGTATTCAAGAAACTTTATTAGAAACCAGGACATGCTCTGGCACTGCCCGCTGATTTCCCCAGCCCTCAAGTCAGAGGGAGGTACTTGCTTGCCCCATGAGGAAAGCTGCCTGTGAAGGCGGAGGAATAAGTCACTTGAGGGTCACAAATCAAAACGGGAAATTAGTAGGAAAGTTGCCCGTGGGAGGAAGAGAGACATGAATCAGGTGACGGAAAATTTTATGGTATGGAGATTTAGAGAGAACGATGGAAGCTGATGAGGAAAGAGAGGGGGAAGTATATGGATGCTAAGTAAAGGGAAACGTGCGGCTGTCTTGACTGGGCTGGAGCGATGAGAGGGAGCGTGGGGAAGGCTGGGCTCTTAGTCCACAGGAAGCTGAGTGCGGAATAACAGTGCGAGGTGACAGCCCAAAAGATGATCCTAGGCTGCATGAATATGGAGAGAGATAATAAATGTGATCTGTTTCTTTTAAAAAATTATTTTTAAAAATTAATTTTTTGGGTGGCGGATTAGGTTTATTTATTTAGTTATTTTTTAGTGGAGGGACTGGGGATTGAACCCAGGACCTTGAGCATGCTAAGCATGCGCTCTACCACTGAGCTACACCTGCCCCGCCCTGTGAACTGTTTCTTATTGGTCAAATTATACTTGGAAGAATATGTTAAATTCTGAGTTCTTCACTTTAAAAAGTAGATAATCTGGAATGCATGAAGGTCTAGGGAGACATTTTGGAGGAAAAACAGAAAGAGGGATAGTGTGGATATTTTGAGTATTAATTTAGATTAAAAAAAAATTCAGTTTCTCCATGGAGATCAAGCTTTCATTCTGATCAGTATTCATATGAGAATTAGGTAAAGGTCTGATGGGAAATCTAGCTGACTAAATGGTAGAATCCTAGTTTCACCAGCCTGAGCCATAATTTGAATGCTCTCAGGTCTACCCAGGACGTGTCTCTCACCTGTTTTCAGGTACACAGTATGGTGGCTTTGTTATGCGTCAGCTTGGCGCCCATACACATCTCCTTAAACCATACTTAATCTCCAAAGGGAGACAATACCAAGTTATCCTTCCAGCTAACCTAATACAACTATCCCATGCACGAACCATAAAGACGTTAACCTCTGTCCCACGAAGAGGATATAAAACCCACCAGTCCTTTCCCCATAAGATGGTACAAAATCCCTTTTTTGTCCTTAAGTTAAATTTATTCTACTCCTGTCTGATTCATACTTGCCTTTTTTTATAGCCTGTAACTGAAATACTAAGATATGAAGTTAACTATATTAATGTATCTTATGTTAGACAAGGGGACGGCAGAGGGGAAGAAAGCTAAAACATCTGGTTAATACATGTACACCAAAATACGCCGGTCAAAATAAGGAAGAAGTGCCTGTCTCTATTACAGCTCTTGTTCCTGCAGCTGCTCACATAGTCACGGCTGGTTTCTCTAACTACTTTCTTTCACTACCCATCCCATATTTCCCTTCGTCCTCACTTGGTCATGAATACTTCTCTGTGGGTGAGTGACCCTCATCTTCATTTCTGAAGGATCTGGGATATTAGCAGTCCTGCATGAATGGGGTTATTGTCATTTTCCACTGAGTTTCATCATAGGACATTTGAGCACAGGAGGCACCCTAAAAATCTGGATTCCAGACGTGTTCCTCCTCATCCCCCCAGGATCAGTCATACCCACCAGTATAGTGACTGCCTTTGCTTGTCGATTGCGTGATATGAGGACCCCAAAGTGGCAACGTGGCAGCCTCGCTTCTCTGCAAACAGAATCACTGTGTCCCCTGGGGGAAGGGCTCCTCCTTTGTGACTAAGACCTCTAAAGCAGCAGAGACCAAAAGTGTGACAGGAAGGCAAACTGTGCTGGGGGGTCACAGTTATAGAGGTCATCGTGAGAGGACGCACTCCCGTTTCCACCTCTTGGTGCCTAATCCCATGAACCTTTGCAGTGGGAGAAACAGCACCCTAAGCTGGATACGGATTTAGAGCAAACAGCACATCCCAGAGGACACGACCCCAGCAGTGTGAGGTGTTGCCGACTAGCTGTTGCTGTAACTGAGCCTTCAAAAGGCTGTTCCACTGTTCTGTCAGGCCCATCGTTTCAGGAGGATGGAGAATATTTTCAGACCAGCGGATTCCATCAGCAGAGGTCCATCCCCACACTTTGTTTGCTGTGAAACAAGTCCCCTAGCCGGAGCACGGCTTCATGGAATGCCGTCACGTCCAGTGAAGCACTCCGTAAGTCCACAGGTGCTATTCCGCAGCAGCACTGCAGGCGAGGAGGGCCAGTCTGTGCTGAGAGCAAGTGTCCACTCCAGGAAGAACAAAGTACCGTGCCTCCTACAATGGAAGTGTAACCAATTTACCACAGAGGATCTGGCTGATCCCCCTGGGCGGTGATGCCCTCAAGGACCCACGGCATATTGTGGCGTTTAGGGGTCACTGGCAGACTGGGCGACCCAGCCGTGGCTGCAGCTAGACTGGCCGGGGTGAGTGCAAGTCCACCTGGCTGCGCCCATGTGGAGCCTCCAGCCCTGCTGCCATGGCCACTGTGTTTGTGAGTCTTTGTCATGAATAAGAGTGGCTGAGAAAGTGCTGGCATCCACAGAATGGGTTAGCACTTGGACAGGGTGCCTCATTCCATGGACACTAGTAATTGGTATTTCTTGTTTTCCTGTGAATATTTGCACATTTTTCATTGTATGCAGGATAGTTATGTTAGGCAGGAGGATGACTTTGTTGTGTTTGTGGTTACGCATGGTTTAAGGAGATGTGTATTTGTGCCACTGACAGGAGATGGACTCTAGAGGTTTCTCAAATGTGTCAACTAGGCAAGGATGAGCCACATTTACCGGAATTGCCATTTTGTGAGTTTATGGTTAAGGTGGGCCACAGAGGAGATTCTTAGGAAGATGCAGAGGACGGAGGGGAAGCCGGCATTTTTATAATTCGTAACACTGTTGCTGATCTGCTGGCTCCCTCCCTGGCATGAGGCAGTAGTGGGCCTGCAGTTACTCCACCTTCCTCAGGATCTTCCTGTTTAGCTTCTCTTACTTCTGGGCCAGGAGTGTGTGTCTAGCCTCATTAAGTTGGGCCTTGGCCTTTGCGAGAAAACCACACCACCAATTCCAGAGGCAGTAAGTGATGTGGGTCTCAGTCTGTCCTTGTGGGATTACACGTCATGTTATGGGTTCCAGCCTGACCTTGATCTACCACAGTTTATGTCCATCGTCCCTTCCTGACTGCCTCCCCCATGGACCTCCAGTCCAGCGTTAGACACAAAGATGACAGCCTTACATAGAATGCTTAACAGCTTTCTCAGTCAAGTAAGCCAAAATTCTGTACAACCATTAAATATGTACATACAATTATGTACACATGTCTTAGTGGTTCAGCTTCTTTGGTTAAACCCTGACTGATAGAAGGAAAAATTTATATATATATATATTTACATTATACATACAGTTAGAGTATATATAGAAGGGGTGTGTGTGTATAAATATATATACATACTTAGAATATATGCATATATCCACATATATGTATGTACATCTATCTCCTCTTCAATGAGGAGAGACTCTTGTTTTGAAGGTAGGCACTTAATAGGGTCTAGACATTCTGGAATTTCAGAGTGATCATATTTGTGAACAGAGATTTGAAGTTCTCACCTTTAAAAAAACGGTTATTTCCATAATGAAAGCTGTTGAATACTTAGAAATAGAAAACATTCTCTTTAACAATTCTTTCACAGATCAAAAGCTGCTGCTTGTCAGGTGTGATGAACCCCAGTATTTCTGATTTGACATTTCCTCTTCCCTTCCTGTTTCCCCAGGGACGGAGGAAGGGGGAATGTGGCAGAGGAATCAGACCTCTCTGGCCAACTTCATCCTCGAAGGGCTCTTTGATGACTCCCTCACTCACCTTTCCCTTTTCTCCTTGACCTTGGTGGTCTTCCTCATTGCGGTGGGCGGCAACGCCCTCACCATCCTCCTCATCTGTGCTGACCCCTGGCTTCATACACCCATGTACTTCCTCCTCAGCCAGCTCTCCCTCATGGATCTGATGCACGTCTGCACAACCATCCCCAAGATGGCGACCAGCTACCTCTCTGGCGAGAAGTCCATCTCCTTTGTGGGCTGTGCAACGCAGCACTTCCTCTATTTGTCTCTGGGTGGCGCTGAGTGTCTTCTCCTAGCTTTCATGTCCTATGACCGCTATGTTGCCATCTGTCACCCACTGCGCTACACTGTTCTCATGAACAGAAAGGTGAGACTGATGATGGTCGCCGTGTCTTGGTTGGGAGCATCGATAAACTCCCTAATTCACACAGCGATCTTAATGCACTTCCCTTTCTGTGGGCTTCGAAAAATCCACCACTTCTACTGTGAGTTTCCAGCTGTTGTGAAGTTAGTGTGTGGAGATGTCACTGTGTATGAGGCCACAGTGTACATCAGCACCATCTTAATTCTCCTCCTCCCCATATCCCTGATTTCTACCTCCTATGCCTTCATCCTCCACAGCGTCATTCAGTTGCGTTCAGCTGGGAGTAAGAGAAATGCCTTTGCCACTTGTAGCTCCCACCTCACTGTTGTTTTCCTCTGGTTTGGTGCCTGCATCTTCTCGTACATGAGGCCCAGGTCGCAGCGTACTCCGTTGCAAGACAAAGTTGGCTCTGTGTTCTACAGCATCATTACTCCCACGCTGAATCCTTTGATTTATACTCTCCGGAACAAGGACGTAGCTCAGGCTCTGAGGAGAGTACTGGGGAGAGATATGACCACCAAAAGACTGTGATTGTGGCTACCCTGAGTATCAGACTGGAATGCACTAGGTTCCCTAAATTGGCTTGAGTGAACTTGGAAGATTTTTCAAGGTGACTACTGAAAAATCAAAGTAGTTAACACACAGCTCTAGTAAGTTTGGTCTCAGGCACCTAAGCACTGTAGTGTCCTATCCTAGTCCTTTCAAGCTCCTGTAATAAAAATACCACAGACGGGGTGACTTCAGCTCCAAACATTTATTTCTCACAGTTCTGGAGGCTGAGTCCAAGATCAAGATTTGAAAGCACTAGACATGTTCTCATTTCCTTGTGATCTCTTTGCAAATGTACCCTTGCCCAAACATACCTCTCTGACTCCCCTATTTAAACAGCACTCTTTACTCTGTGTCCCCGATTCTACCTTATCATCATACTTCGCACAACGTTTCATAATATGTTATATTCTACTTGCTTTCCACTTTATTAGAGCGGTAGCTTCAAGAGGGCAAGGAATGTACTTTGTTTACTGTTGTTTCACTAGAGCCAGGAAAGAGCCCGACATGAAATACTCAGTGGCTGTTCTGTTGCCTGGATTAATAAACGAAAGTGACCAAGACTGTCTTACTATCTCACATGACATTGATGATCTTCAATTCAGAGCAGAAAGAGATTACAAAAATAAATAAAACAGTAGATGGTGTGGTAAGACTCATTTTCTAAGACAGCCGGCTATTAATCCCATGCAAATGCAGAGACACGACATCTCAGTGATCTTTCCTGGAGTCTGGTGGTCTGAGGGATGCCAAAGTGATGGGCAGATTTCTACATCCTGCTTTTCCTACTGGTTAAAAATGTTCAGCCTGGGGACCGTCTTCAGAAGAAAAACACTTAAGGTTTGTGAGCAAAGTTATGTCTTCTTTGACAAGTCTTTAGAAATAAACTTCTGGCATTCTCTGATAAGATGAGCTGCCCACCATGAGCTGGGTGTCATCTTACCCTGAAGTCCTAAGGTTGGTTTTGCCTCGTAACACTCCAATATCAAGTAGAAACGATGCCTGGATTTTTTTCTGAAGGTACAAGGGTGTTGTATTTACAGCTGTGTCACAACCCCAGTTAGAGAGAGATGGTTGTTCCTTTGCAACCATTCTCTCTCTACACACACAGCCGTGGCCTTGTCAGGAATGCTGTAAAAGTATTTGAGAACAAAACAACCTAAGCTAAGCTGATGGACGGTTATTCATATAATGCTAACATCTGTTAAAAGTAAATAGTATAGTGCTACATGACTCTCTCCCTTGAGAAGAGATATAAGTCTATATAATTGTAATCATTCTTGATATATTCTGAATATTAACCCCTTATACAGGGTTTACAAATATTTTCTGTCATTCCATAGGTTGCCTTTCACTCTGTTTATTTTGTCATTTGATGAACACAACTTTTAAGTTTTGATCTATTTCCATTTATCTATTTGTAGCTTTGTTGACTGGGGCTTTTGTGTCATAGCCAAGAAATCACTGCAAATGCAACGTCATGTAGTTTCCCCCCTGTATTTTCTTCTAAAAGTTTTATAGTTTTAGCTCTTGAATTACTTTTTTGATACATTTTCAGTTAAATTTTGTATACAGTATAAGGTAGGGGTTCAACTTAATTCCACTTATAATAGAAATGAAATAGGATAAAACACTTAAGAATGAACTCATCCAAGGAAGTGAAAGATTTATACCCCGAAAACTACAAAACACGGCTGAAGAAAGTAAAGGGATGTAAATAAATGGAAAGATATCCTGTGTTCATGGATTCGAAGACTTAGCATTAAGACCTCATCACCCAAAGTGATCTACAGAGGCAATGCAACCCCTATCATAAGCTCAATGGCATTTTTTTCAGAAATAGAAAAACCTATACTAAAATTCATACGAAATGAAGAGACCCCAAATAGCCTACACAATCCTGGAAATGAATAAAACTGAAAGACCCACCGCTTCTGATTTTTAAACTTGTACAAATTACAGTAATCAAAACAGCATGATAGTGGCATAAATATGGAGGTATAGACCAACAGAACAGAATAGAGACCTTGGAAAATTACCCTCACGTATGATCAGAAGATTTCAAGGATGCCGAGAATATTCAATGGGGAAAGGACAGTTTTTGTAATGAGTGATACTGGGAAAACTGGATACCCACATGCAAAAGAATGAATTTGGACACTTACCTTACACCATACAAGGAATTAAATGAAAATGTATCAAAATCCTAAATGTAAGAGCTTAAACTAGGAAAGTCTTTGAAGAAAAGATAGCAGGAAAGCTTCATGATAAGAGGTTAACATCCAGAATATATAAAGAGTGACTACAATTGAAAGATGACAATAGAATAATCCAATTAAAAACTGGGCAAAAGACTTGTATAGACATTTTCCCAGACGAGTTATACAAACAGCCAACAAGCACATGAAAAGATGCTCAACCTCACTAATCATCTGGGATATGACTTAAGAAAAATCATCTCAAATTGGATTAAAGCCTTGAAAGAAAGACCTGAAACCGTAAAACATCTGAAAGAAAACATAAGGGATAAGGTCCTTGACATTAGTCTTGACAGTAGTTTTTGGATATGGCACCAAAAGCGGAAAAAAAAACCCAAAAGCAAAAAGAAACAAGTGGGACTACATCAAACTAAAAAGCAGAAGCTTTTCATGACAAAGGAAACCATCAAAAAATGAAAAGTCAACTTGGAGAACGGGAGAAATATTTGCAAATAATATATCTGATATGGGCTTAATATCCAAAATATATGAGAAACTGATACAACTCAACAGCAAAAACCCAAACAGTGCAATTTACAATTGGGCAGAGGAATTGAATAGACATTTTTCCAAAGTAGATACACAAAGGGCCAGCAGGAACATGAAAATGTGCTCAACATCACTAACCATCAGGGAAATGCAAATCAAAATCACTGTGAGAATCACCTCACACCTGTTAGAATGGTTCTTATCAAAAAGAAAAGAGATAAGCACTGGGGAAGATTTGGAGCAAAAGGAGTCCTTGTGTACTGTTGGTAGAATATAAATTGGTAGAGCTACTATTGAAAAGAATATGGAGGTTCCTCAAAAATTAAAAATAGAACTATGATGTGATCTGGCAATCTCACTTCTGGGTATATATCCATGGAAGTTAAATCACTGTCTTGAAAATTTATCTTCGCCCCCCGCTACCATGTTCATTGCAGTATTATTCACAGTAGCCAAGACATGGTAACAACCTATGTGTCTATCTATGGATGAACTGATAAAGGAAATATGGCATATATATGTGTGCATATACACACACACATACACAATGTTAGTGTGCCATAAATATTCAGCCGTAAAAAAATAAGGAATTCTTGTCATTTGTGACAACATGGATGGACCTTGAGGGCATGAAGCTAAGTGAATAAGTCAGACAGAGAAAGACAAATACTCTATGATATCACTTATATGTGGAACCAAAAAAAGTCCCTCAACTTCTAGATCTAGAGAACAGATTAGTGATTGGCAGAGTTGGGTCTGAGGGTGGGGGAAAAGGGTGAAAGTGATCAAAAGGTAAATACTTCCAGTTGTAAGATAAATAGAAGGATATGATGTACAGTGTGGTGACTATAGTTAACAGTACTGAATTGTATATTTGAAAGTTGACAAGAGAATAGATCCTAAAAGTTCTTAAAATAAGAAAAAATGGTAACTATTTGAGGTGAATGAACTAAACTCATTGGGGCAATCATTTTGGGATATATACATATATCAAATCATTGTGTTGTACACCTTTGACTAATACAAAGGTGTCATTTATATCTTAATAAAACAGGAAAAATAAATCTCATCTTGAAATAAGAATAAGTAAACAAAATCATGATGAGATACCTCCTCATACTTATTAAGACAGTTATTATTAAAACAGCAGAGAAGAGCAAGTGTTGGTGAGAATGTGGAGAAACTGGAACGCTTGTGCACTGTTGGTGGGAATGTAAAATGGTGCAGCCAGTGTAGCCAACAGTTTGGTGGTTTCTCAAAAAATTAAAAATAGAATTACCATATGATCCAGAAATTCTACTTCTGGGTATATGCCGAAAAGAATTGAAAGCAGGATCTCAAAGAGGTATTTGTACACCCTTGTTCAGAGCAGCATAATTCACAAGAGCCCAAAAGTGGAAGCAACTCAAGTGTCCACTGATGAATGAATGGATTAACAAAGTGTGGTAAATACACATACAAAGGAATATTATTCAGCCTTGAAAAGGAAGGAAATTTTGACACATGCCACAACATGGATGAACCTTGAGGAAAACAAACCATTCATGAGAAGACACATACTATGTAATTCTTCTTCTGTTAGGTACCTAGAGTAATCAGATTCATAGAGAAAGAAACTAGAATGATGAATCACAGGGCATGGGGAGTTGTTTCATGGGTACAGAGCTTTAGTTTTGGAAGATCAAAAGGGTTCTGGAGATTTGTTGCACATAGCATGAAGGTTCTTAACACTACTGAACTATAGACTTAAAATGCTCAAGATGGTAAATTTTATGTTATGTGTATTTTATCAAAATTTAAAAAATTTATATAAAAAACTTAGCTTGGGTTGAATACAGGGCACTCTCATCATTAATGAGATATTCATTTGGATTAAAAAGAAGGATATGACCCAAAAGCCTGCCACAAATGTACATTTTATTAGGAAAAAACCCACGAGAAACATTCCCGCTAAAGCCAAGAATACAAAGCTCACAATTACTATTGTTGTTAAGCATTCTATTAAAGAATTTTGCTAATACAACAGGAAAGAAATCTGTATAAAGCTTGAGCAGGAAAAAAAACCTCTATATTATTTTTCACACCTAGAATTCCAAAAAAGTCAACTTACAAATAATAGGAGTCAACAAGTAAGCTCGAGAAATGTACGAGAAAAAATACATTACTTAACAACCCAAATAACCAGTCAGAAAATGTAAGAAAACATTAATATATAAAATGAAAATGCTGAGGTTATGGAGATAACACACTTCCCTGAGTGGGAAACATTTTAGTGCAAAGAGGTCAGTCCTTCAAATTAACTTTTAATTCAAAACTGTTTCAATTCAAATCTCTTACTGTGAAATACAGAATCTGCCAAGACAATTCAAAAAGACGAAAAGAAAATCTGTAAGAGCAAACACAATACAACTGAAAAAGAACAACAATGAAAAACAGGTGCTGTCTGCTGTCGGGACATGCTATGAAATCCAAAAGTTAAAACAGCATGGTCTTCATTCAGAGAAAGAATCGTGAAAGAGCAGTGAGTGCAGAACACAGGTTTATACGTAAGAACACAGTTTATAATAACCATCACATTCCAAACCAAGGGGCAAAAACGACGTTAGGACAGTTAGGTGCCCCTGGCCAGGTGTGGGGAGAGAGCTCTCTAGGTATTGCTTAATTTTCAAGCTTTCTAAATGTCTTTTGAAATCCAAGAAGTAAAGCCTTAGAGTATTTATTCGTCCCCAGAGTTTGTTTTCTCTCTTAATCTTGGCAGGGCCTTCTCTTCTGGCTTTAGGAGACTATTACAACACTTGGGGGCAAAGATG